TTTCGTTCATAAATTCATTCACAAATTCATTAAAACAAGTGTTTTTCGTAAATGTTAAAATTGATTGAATATCATCGATGATAAAATGAAATCTGTCTATTAGATACCAAAGATAATAAGAAGAAAATGGTTGATATTGGTTGTGTGTTGATGCTAACTGAGTTAATTTCCTCTGTTTCTGGTCAACTGGTAGATTGTTTGATTTCATGTAATTATACATAAAACTGCCAATTGTTTTTTCATCTGTGATAATATCTAAGTTTTTATTATCGGTAAAAAGTTAATGTAATCATTAATGTATTTTTCATCAATGTGACCCTTTACTTCAGCCACGAATAAAGTATTTTTCTTCTTAATAATTCCCAGTGCTTTTGCTTTCTTTGTTGCTGTATCACAAATGATAAACACCATTCAATCTTCCCGGCATATACATTTTATGGTCAGTATATTGAATGAAATCATGAGGATTAGATGAAAATGATGAAGGATATAATGAATTAAAATCAACACCAACGAAATGAGTCATAATGTTGGTGGTGTCCTCATTTGATACAGTTTTAGTTTCTGGATTATATGAAAGTTTATTAATGTGCGTGATTCCTTTAAGATTAACACGATGTTGAACATTTGATAGACCACCAGTAATTCCATTACGGAGAATGTGATAAGCTTCAACTGAATCTAAAGTCATTGGTAAATTATTTTTTAATGCATAATTCTTAAATTGATTCTTAAACGTTGAACATCTTCATCTTTATTTGCTTTTACGACATTGCAATAACAACACATTAACTGACAATTTTCTTTGGTATGTGGTTTTTCATTATCTATTCTATCCAATGTTGGTTTATTTGCATATGTAAACGCTTTACCACACATTTTGCATTTAGATGAAAGGATTAAATCGTGATAGTATTGATAGTCATCCATTGAAACATTGTTTTTAGTATCCCTTTCTACTTTTTCATCTTGTTTCTTATATGATTCAATTTTATATTTCCAATACTTTTTTGTTAATTCAAAACTTGATTCCACATTTTCTTCTTCTGGATATGTTTCGTTAGGATTGAAGTTCTTATATGCTAACGCGTAACGAATCATTGAAGCATTCGATGATAAAGAAAGATTATGAAGCATGTCAATTTTATAAACAAATGTTTCTTCGATAATTTTATCAATTGGGTCAATCATAATTTCAACGTCTTTATTGCAATAATGAATAAAATATTCTAATCTATTCTCAAAATTTTTAGCATCATTGAGATATATTTGATAATCTGAATCGGATATTGTTTCTTGGGTTAATGCTGAATAAAATGAATCTTGAGTGAATGGTTCCTTTTTATATAATTCATCTTCGTAATTCTCCCATGTGATGAATTGATAAGGGAAAAAGGATTTAACACGTGATTTATTGTTTCCGAAATCTTGAGTGAATTGGTCTAATGTTCCACCCGCTATATAATTTCTGATGTCAATAAATCTTAATTCATATGGACAGTTTGTTTTCTTTACTATGACTTGCTTAAATTGAGAAGAAGAACCCAGCATTGATTTTATCTTCCATTTTGCAGTATTTAAATCACGAAGAATTAAATTTAAATCAAACTTTCCTGAATTAAAACCAATGATATTCACTTTATTAAATTCTTCATCTAAAAGCTCTTTCATTGCTTCCTTTTGTTTCTCATTTAATGTATTCATTAATTCTTCATATTGTTCAATATTTGATTTAGCAACTAATGAACAGGTTGAAAATAAAAATTCAATCCAATCAGAGATGAACGAATCACTTGATGTTAAGCAAAAATTCCTCGTAAATGTTTTATCGTTTAATTTAACCGTTGATGATACCATAAATGGTTTTAAGTAAGCGTTCAAAGTTGCACATTCAGAAAGTTGAAGTTCTTCTTTAGTCTCTAATGTTTCGAAGTCAAAAGTAATATAATATCTTGTTGGTTTATAATATTCCTGCAAATTATGTGCTAATAGCCATTGATATATCTTCTGTTTCGTGATATGTGGTGCATATGGTTGTTGTGTGTTTTGCAATTGAACGTCTTGAATTAATCTTCCATTATTTTCTTTACATTTCTCACAATGCTTTAAAAATCTTCTTTGGTTTTTCCTTTCTGGATCATCACGGATAGAATAAACTTCTTCTTTACAATATGGACAAACTCTATAGCCGGTGAGTGCTTCAACGTCTGTTATTCTGTCAGCGTGAAGTTTTCCACATGGACTCTGTGTTAATAAAATATTTACTGTTTCAAATTCTGGATCTATCATTATTGAATCCACTAATGGAAAGTCTACCTTGTTAATGTCTACGTCTTCTGGTTGAGGGTCACAATAATAAAAATCAATATTAACGTTTAACATTCTTGCTAACCTCTCACTTTCTGATGAAATGTCAAATCCTTCATATGCATCTATGGCTTCATTTAAATAACTTCTACGAGTTTTAGGATTAACACCATCAGGAATGTTATAGAAGCGTTTAAATAACCTTCTACCTTCGGCTCTTATTTGATTATCATTCATTTTAGCTGTTCCATTTTTGTTCATTTATGTAAGAATAAAAATTAAAAAATAAATAAAAATAAAGTTTATTTTTTTAAAGTCCGAGACTCAGAGAGTCCAGGGCTAAAGTCATAAAATGAATTAAGAACACATAAATTTTTATCATCTGCGACGTGACGAATACATTTTAATTTACTCAAGAATGCGTACCCTGATACATTAAATCTAATTCCTGTCTTATTTAATTTCACAACTTTGAAAAGGAATGTATGAATAGCTATAAAAATGATGAGAAGATGTTTTATGGGTTGCTTCCATTTTTTCTGAAATAAATGAATAAATATAATGTTTATAAGTTTTCATATCTTTATGTTCTTAATAACGAATGGTATAGACCTTTCCACTTCGTCTTCCTTCGGTGCTGTTCTTTCATATGAAACATTATTGGTATCTTCAATAATGAAACCACAATCACATAAAATTTTATATGTACCAATTGTTTCTTTTGATATTTTATCTAACAAATCAAAAACTTTATCAACACCTGTACATTTATTTAAATAATAATTTGTGTAAATATCATGGTCTTCTTTCTTAATCGTATTTGTTGCATATGTTACATTTTTCAGTGTTTTTTGAATTTTTCAGAATCAAGAGGAGGTGAAGTAATATACATGGATAATCTCCATCGTCAATAAATTGTAACTTATGTTTATGAATAAATTTTGTGCCTTCTCTTCTTGTTTTCAATATCACCATCTAATAAATTTTTAGTAGATTCCAAAAAGTAATTTTTATATCTTTCTTCATGAGATTTCTGAACTGCTGATTCTGAAGCCGGGATATTCATTAAACCCTCTACTTCATTTTCAGCATTTCTCAATTCCTTAATTTTTTCATCTATTTCATTTCTTAATTGTTCCAATTTCTCAATCTCATCGTTATAATATTCATCTTGTTTAATTTTTTCTTCAAAATATTCAGGAGGTGTTTCAAGGCTCTCTGAGCCCAGGTCCTCTGGACCATAAAGAGGAATATTCTCCTGTTTTTCAACTTTTTTGGGATATAAATATCTCATTATAGCCTTTTTAGTAATTGGTCCGTTATATTTAAATTCATTCAACAATCTGGAAAACTCTTTCACATTCTGCATATATGTTGGATAAGAACCGTCTCCAAAATTTTCTAAAATATTTTCTAATTCTGAATTAGTGAACTTTAAAGATTTCAATGAATTAGTTGTTATACTCATTTATTATAAAATAAAAAATAAAAAAAATAAATGAAACAGAGGAGGAAGAAATAAATGAAAGTGAAAATGTTCAACAAAAAATAAACGTTGTTAAACCAATTACTGAAATAAAAATTTTTAAATCTGTTGAAGAATTTAATGACTATTATGCTAATAATAAAAAATTATTTGAAGAATTGACAACATGTAAATTGAATAAAATGTTTAAAGTTGATGGATTCAAAATTTCAAAAATAAAAGGAGTGGTTAGTTTGAAATCTATTCCTCAATCAAGAATCACCTCATTAATGAAAATAGATGATTTAACAAAAAGAATAGAAGAGATTGAAGAAAGAATGAATCAAATAATTGATTTCATAAATTCAAATAATCATTAGCTTCTTAAAGTTCAATGTTGATTCTGAGACATTAATTTTTAAAGTTTATTTTTCATTCATGAGGTCTTTGATTATGACTCCATTGATTCCATTCAGGATTTAAACAATGTTTAATTAATCGCGGAATATCTGACATCATCTATATATAGCTTCTTTTATAAAAGATGAAAAATAAATTATTTTAAAATTAATGTTAATTTTTTTAAAAAAATTTATTTCATTATGTATGGGTTGAGTGTAAATGTCTTACAATTTTGAAAATTTTTTAAATCTTGATTTATTCAAAAACGTAAGAATCAAAACCGTCAGAATCATACATTTTTTACTTCATATGTTAAAAAAAATGATACAAAATCGTTCTATATTGTATGAATTCTTACGTTTACAAAAAAAGTCACACACCCCGCACTCATATACTACTCGGGAAATCTTTTTTTTTTTCATGTGTTCTCCTTAACCAAATAAGAATTAAAAGTCTTATGATACTTTCCTCTTCCCCCAAATTCATTTGCCCCAAACAAAATAATGTCTTGAATATTCTTTGACTTTTCATGTGTTTTCTATATCGAAGCAAGATTTTTCAATATTTGCTTAAACAAGAAATCCAATTTGGAGCAAATTTTCTATAAGTGAAAGTAAAATTTAGAATTTTTTAAAAATTCCAATCATTAATTCTCCAAACTAGATATTTATTGAAAAAATTGCCAGTATTTCAGTTTAAGACGATTAACATTTTGTTTTAAATTAATCAAATTTAAATATTGGTTTTTCCTACCGAAGAACTAAAAAAATATTATTCATAAATATACGCGTTTATAATAAATTAACGAACAAAAAAAAAATTAAAATTAAAATTCTGCATTCATGAAAATATCATCTTCATCTGATCTAATCATTTCTGGGTCATCAGGACCAGTTGTTGTAATCATTTGATCATCACTTTCGTTTAAGTCAAGAATTGCTAACTCAGTTTTTCCTTCTGCTCCAAACAAATTCGTTTCTTGAAGTGAATCTGAGTCATCATTTAACTCGGAAGAACTTGCTTGATGAGACTTTCGATACAATGTAAAACCAATAATACTCAAAATAAAAATGGCTGCAATAACTAAACAACTAATAAGAATAATTGTTCCTGAATTAAGTTTTGACTTTCCATATTCTTCATCTGCAATAAATAATATTGTTTCTACATTTGTTGAAACATATGTTTGTGTAACAATGTAAGTCAAAGAGATAGTAAATGTTGTTGTATTCTTAGTAGTTAATTGATGGATTGTTGTTGTATTTGTTATTGAAAGTGTTTCTTTAGCAATTGTTGTATTTGAAAGTGTTTGTGTTTCGGTGATTGTTCTTGATTCTTTACCTGAAACATCAGATTTGTATGTTAATACATCAATATCTGTCTTCGTTGATGAATATGTTGTTACTGAAGTTAGTGAATTAGTTGAGTAACTAACATTATATTCTTTACCATTATCGATAATTTTTGTAAATGTTCCAGCTTTTGTATATGATTGTGTGTATGTTATTGTTTCTGTGTCTGTCAATGATTTAGTTAAAGTAAGTCTTGAATCTGTTCCTGGATCAGTATTTGGTCGTTTTGGAGTCATTGTTGGATCTGGTGTTCTCAACGGAATTGGTTTTCTTGGTGTTGGACTTGGAGTTTCAACTGGTGTTGGTGGAATAGGAATGAGATTAATAGTAAATGTTTCGCCATTAACCTTTGCTTCAGTCAATGTGTTTGCCTTTAATATAATATTGAGTGGTAACATAGTGTTTCCATTTGTTAATTGTGTTGAAATGTTTGTAATTGATTTAACTAAAGTGTTTGTATATGTTGTTATTGAAGTTTTATTTGGTAAAGTGATAACTGTGTAGATACTTGATGTAACTGATGTATAAGTAGGAATAAATGTACTAGTTGATGTTACTGATGTCCAACTAAATGATATTGAATTAATGTTTGTCTCACCGGGATAAGGTGATGGAACTAATGTTGAAGTGATCGTATATGAAGTGTCAGCTGATTTAAAGGAAATTTCAGTATATGAAACTGCTAAAGTAACTGTTTCGGTTTGATTAAATGTTGTGGTGACACCAGAAATTACTGCTAAGTCTTTACCATCGTTGATATAGATTGACTCTTCAAGCTCTGTTACATTTGTTAACTCTATTGAACTTTGAGGATTATCCTCAAATATTGAATAAATAGTTGTTAAATTTTTGATGTAAGTTGTTTTATACACTATTGTACTTTCTCCAGGTAATACAATAGCAAAGCTTGAAATAAATTGAGTGACAATAATGGAAGTTTTTGCGATTACATAAGATACTGATGTAATCCATGTGTCACCAGGAATCAGAGATTGCTTTGGTGTAGCAACTGATGATGTTGTAATAGAAGAAGGATCAGTGATCACAGAGATGAATGAATTTTGAGTTGTCAATGTGAAATTGTATGGGAGATCTGTGAATGCTGCAGATGGAACAATTGTGAAAATATCTGTTGTTGCCGTTGTATTTGTTGTTGAGGGAACAAGTGTAACTGTCCATGTGCCAGAATAAGTTTTATTATTTTGTGTGACATATATAGTGTTTGATGGGTAGTAAGTAATTATCGGGAAAGAGCTATTTTCTTTAACTTGTGTTGATGACCAAAAATATGTTGTTGTTTGTAATGATCCTGATGTAACTGTGGAGATTTGATTTGTGACTGAATATGAAATTACATTGATCTCAGTCGATTCATCTACATCAACTGAATATTCTGTATATGTATCCTTTTTTTCATCTGAAAATGAATAACTTGTAACAATTGTAGTTCCATGAGCAGGATCAAACTTAGTGAATGTGCCAGTGTATGTTGTAACTTCAGTGAAAGTGTATATATATGCAGTTGAATTGAGAGGGTTTGTAGTGTATGTGCTAGTGTAAATTGTTGTTTGTGTTGAGTATTGGTAAATTTTGCTTTCAGAAAGAATAAGTGCTGTTGGACTTGGTAAGTGGACATTGGTATATATACGATCAAAAATCACCGACTTTATTTTTGTCGTACCGAGGAGTTCATTCTTTGTTGCAGGTGGAGGGATGATTGTAGTTGATACTGATACATAGTTAGTTGAGAATATAATGTAAACTGTAGAATCAGTCTGAGTATAAGTAGCATATGAAGTATCAGGAATGTCATATGTCGAAACATAGAATAGTGTCGTAGGTTCAACAATATAAGCTGTTGTTGTGAATGTGCTTGCAACGAGTGTCGAAGTTTGTGTAGCTGTTAATGTATCAGTAACTTTAATTCTGTTATCATATACAGAAATTGGGAATTTAACAATAGTGTATGTATTTGATGGTTTGTAAGTTGAAAGTGTGTAAGTAGTTACTGTACTTGATAATACTGTGAAGTATGTTGTTAATGAAGTTGAAGGTCCAGATTTAATTGTAATGGCGCCTGCATGGATCATTGATGTTGATACAGCGTAATTCTTTACAATTGTTGATGTTATACCATTTGGAGTAATGAACTCTGTCTTTCCTTGGAATGGTGCATTAATTACTGTTGAAATATTAACATTTCCTGTGAGTTTTATGATTGATTTAGTGATTGTATTTCTCTCGGTAAATACATATTGGCCGTTATCTGAGAATGTTGACTTAAAGATCTTTGATGTCATCCATACATTACTCAAAAATTCTGATGCAAATAATGTTGAGTATTGAAATGTGATTTTCTGTGTAACTGTAGTAGTGTTGGCGAATGTAAGGGATGGAACAAATGTTTGCATGTAAAGAATGTTGTCGAAAGGATTTGTAGAAATGGATACCAATGGAGCTGGTGTTGATGAGGAACTATATTCAGAAATTGTGTATGTGAGAGATTTAATTGTCGTGGATGATGGAACAAGAGTATTTGTATTATATGAGGTTGCAATACCTGCAAATGAAAGGCTTGCAGTGTGAAGGCTTGTTGAAACAACTGTTTTTCCTAACACAACTTGTGTAAATGTGTAAAAGACGTTTTGGTTGTTTCCTCCTAGTGGAAGATAGAAAGTAGACGTCCATGTGACCACAGCACTATCAAATTCAACAGCAGTTGGGAGACTAGATGTTGATGTGGTGAGAGTTGAATTGATAACTGTATAATTGATGTTCTGAGTGATTGAGAAATATTCAGAAGCAACATCAGTAAGTTTGTAAACATTTGTACCCGTGATTGTATTGTTCTTTCTGTTTTCATATGCAATTGTTGTAGAATTCCAAGTTGTGTAAATTGAAATGTATGAAACAAATGAGCTGTTAGCAGTAACAAATGAGAATGTTTGAGTAAATGTCGTAACAGCTGTGTATGTATAAGTAGTTTTATCACTTGCTAATGCAATCACTGTGTAATAGTTTGTAATTGCTGGATAATAAATGATTGTGTATGTATCCTCTGTAGCTTTTGTATATCCTGAGAAGTAACTGATTCCTGAGAATGTTGTTATTTTTGTAATAGGAACCAATGTTGATTTTTCTGTACTAGTTGGTTGTTCTTTCATATTAGCGATAGTGTATTTCTGTTCTACATTTATTCCAACAGGAATATCAATAGCTGTAAATGTGGTATTTGTATAAGTTGTGGCTGTGTATGTAAGTGTCTCATAGTATGCGCCGGCGCTGCCTGTTATAGTATAGTATTGATTTGCAGTAAAGCTTGAACTACCAATAAGAGTGTAAATACTATTAGTAATTGTGAGTTTAACAGCGGTTTCACCATCTTTAGTAAACGTAATTGTGTTTGTACTTTGTATTAGACTGTAAACATAAATAACCTCATTAGTACTGAAGTCTGGACCGAGTGCAATAGTAGAGTCAGTAATATTGGTAAACGTAATAGAAGAAATGCCTTCAGCATTAGTAGTTAACGACATATATCTAATAAATGTGTCTGAATCGCTGACACGAGATGAGGTGTAAGTAACTGTACTTTCTTGAGTAAATGATGGATAGTAAAGTGTATAATCTGATTGGGAAGCAAGACTTGTAGCGATTGTTGTGATAGATTTGTCGTAAACAATTTTAACAGTGTTATCCTTGTAAGTTCTGATAGCTGTTGAAGTATATGTGAAAACTGTTGTGATTGTATTTGTAATATTCGTAGTTGTAGAAGCGAGTGTGAGGAATTTTGTTGCAGGTTTAACATATGAGTATGTGAGATAATTTGTAGTATCTGTGATAAGTGGGTTATCTGTTGGACTTGGAGTCTGTGCTGATGGAAGAGGTGTTCTTGTTATAATAGGTGTGTCAAAGGCTGTCTGAAATGCCGTTGAATGGGGTGTGGAATGAGCTGTTGAGAATGGTGTTCTGAAGAAAGTTGAAGCTACAGTGAATGTGGATCTCTTTGTCCAAAGATCAACATTTGATGTTGAATATGTCTTCCATGATGATGTTGTTTTCTGAGGAAGGCGTGTGATTGGAGTAGCAACATAAATAAATGGTGTTGGATCGGTGACAGAACTTGTTGCCTGAGCGCCTGGATTATTAGATACTCTGGCAAATGCAGGATCAGTTGTAGTAAGGGCAGAAGTATCGCTTTCTGTAAGATCGTTCGTGGGACAGAATTTTTCGTTAGCAAGTGTTGGGTTGGCATTGAAGTCAAGTTGTTGGTAAATCTGTTTCGTAAAATTATCAGAATTGCCAATAAATGCATAACATGTAGTTGGACTTTCAACTGCATCTTGGTATGATTGCCAGTAAACTTTATCTTCAAGCATGTAGTCATTGCCTGCAGCAGAACCTGAAGTAAATTCGATTGTTTTCGTCAAACCGTTGTACATCTTATTTCTATAAAAACAGTTTTGTTGGGTAATAAGTTGGCGCTGTTTTTCAGTGGATATGAAGGCGATACCACCACAACCACGACCTCTGAATCTAAGAGCAACATTTTTTTCCATGTCGATGATCTGTTTGGCATTAGAATCAGATACGATACCTAAGCCAGCTTGATTTGCTAAAATGCCACTCCTATAAATACTTAATGGCGTATCTTTGCTAAATATAGCGCCACCTTGGTCTCCAGCGCGGTTATATTTGCAAAGTATTCCTTCAAAGTAGACTTCTGATTCTTGTTCAATGGCAATAGCACCACCTGTTTGATGTGCAGTATTGCCTGAAAATAAATAATTATAAACGTAAAACCTGTGATTACTATTAATCGTACTCTCTTCGGCCGAAGTGAGTCCTTCAAATAAGATAGCGCCTCCTGAGGCGAATGCTACATTACCACTAAATTTGTAAGTGTAGTCATCGCTCTCTAGAAATGCGCTTGATCGAATCAAGCATATTGCACCGCCATCGGCTGCTTGATTATTTAAAAATCCCGTATTCTTAATTACGCAAATTGAATATAATAAGTAGATGCCGCCCCCACAAGGGCCGGAAAGTTCTCTTCCAAATGCAAAGCATTGTGAAAATGTAGATTTTGTAATCGTAACTGAGCAGTAATAGTAATCTAAACCAGTATTTATATAATATGAATTTTCGGGGATAGAGATATCAACGTTAAATTTTCTTTCAAGCCCTTCATCAATGTCATCATTTTGATTAGAAAGAAAAGTTGGCACGCTTTCGAAGTCTTTTTTGTAATCAATATTAAGCTGTCGAAGATAAAGAAGAGAAATCAAAATCCTAAAAAAAATGTTTTAAAGTTTTTTATCAACAAATAGAAATCGTTGTTCATAAGTTATGCTTTTGCTAAATTTCAGAAATTGCGATCCGAATATTTCAGATTTTTCAGATTGAATTCAATTTATTAAAATGCCACAATAACAAATATGTTTGTACCCTTAAACCCATTTTGCTACGTAAAGTCTCTCTATCGTTTTTCTGCCTCAATATTGAGTGAACCTAAATCAAAAATTTGAATGCGAGACTTTATGAAGGAAAAGGAGTTCAATGATAAAATGAAGACAACAAATTCAGCATTTCTTTACTGCCATTCTGTTAAGAGTATCTAACATATTTTAAACTCTTAAACATACATTTTTGAAAAACGATGAAATCAAAATTTAAAAATGATTGCATAAGTTTATCATATTAATGATTTGCATATCAAATTCATTCATCTTTAATCAATAAATTGTTGTTCGCATTTTTAAAGTTATGGGATCGCTGAGTTTACAACTATTCAATTTTTTGCGCTTAAATATACTTTTTCTCTATGATAGAGTTGATATTTTTATGAATAAACTTAAATATAGAATACATTGATCATACTCTATCTTTTCATTGTTTAAAAATCATAAAGAATACATACATATATAAAAATTTTGAGATTTTCCGACACATAAAAATAAAATACAGAGATATTCATTCAGAAGCTTCTAATATCCACAAGAATGAGTCAAAAAATTAGAGCTTGAGTAAGCTGCATAGGTAACAGAGAAACTCATATAATTAATTGTATGACTTTTCTCAAAAAGTGGAAATTAGATTTTACTTTGAACAAATGATAAAATAATAAAACAAATATAATTTGAATTGTTGACGAACTTATGGTCTCTTATCCCAACTAAAATATATCATTTATGAAGGGAAAAAAAGCATTATTTAGAAATAGAAAATATATTTACGTTAAAATATAATAATAATAAAATATATTAAAATTCTTTATTCATGAAAATATCATCATCGTCATTAGCATCTTGAATTGTTCTCAGTTCACCATCATCATCATCAAAATCAGGAGCAAATTTAGTAATCATTTGATTCTCATCATCTTCATCGAATTTAATAATAGTATTCTCAATTCTTACAGATCCAAATAAATTAGTATCATTAAGTGAAGTTGATTCTTCATCTTCGAATCCAGAAGAACTTGTTTTACGCGACTTACGATATAATGTAACTCCAAGAATTCCTAAAATGCTTGATGAACCAATAACTAAAGAACAAACAAGAATAAGAGTTCCAGATGACATCTTTGACTTAGTAACACCTTCTTGAGCAATCAAAAGCATTGTTTCTACATTTGTTGAAACATATGTTTGTGTAACAATGTAAGTTAAAGAAATAGTAAATGTTGTTGTATTTTTATTAGTTGATTCATGGGTTGTTGTTGTATTTGTAACTGAAAGTGTTTCTTTAGAAATTGTTGTATTAGAAAGTGTTGATGTTGCAATAATTGTCTTTGATTGTGTTACAGAAACATCTGATTTGTATGTTAATACATCAATGTATGTTTGTGTTGATGTATATGTCGGAACATCTGTATCTGTCTCTGTTAAGTAAGGAATTTGAATAATACTGGAATTTACACTTAAGTCAAATAATGCTTTTATAAGTGTCTTTGACTTTGTTGAAGCTACTGTTTCTGTGTCTGTCAATGATTTGGTGATTTCAAGTCTTGTATCTGTTCCTGGATCAGTGTTTGGACGCTTAGGAGTCATTGTTGGTTCTGGAGTCCTCAAAGGAATTGGAGGACGAGGTGTCGGACTAGGCCAATTACTTGGTGAAGGGAAATGTGTTGGTTTTAGACTAAGAACAACAGTATTTTCTAATTTCTTTGTTTCAGTCAAAGTGTTTGCTGTTGTTGAAATATTGACTGGTAACAAAGTGTTTCCTTCTGTTAATTGTGTCGATATATTTGTAATTGACTGAGTAAAAGTGTTTGTGTATGTTGTTGTTTCATCTTCATTTGGTAAAGTGATAACTGTGTAGATACTTGTTGGAACTGATGTATATGTAGGAATAGATGTATTAGCATTTGTGACTGATTTCCATTCAAATGTTATTGATGAAATATTTGTGTCTGTAACAATTGGTGCTGGAACATCTGTATCTTTAATTATTAAATATGTATCAGCTGTTTTAATTATTGAAATCGTTAGTGTTGATTCATATGTACTTGTATTTACATCTTTATATCCCATTGTTGCTCCTGTAGCTACAATTAATTGTCTACCAGTGTTTACAACTTCAAATTCTGTTAGAGATTGAACTTCTGTCTTTGTATATGTATCAGTTTGTTGTTGACTAACATTTGTGAATGTACTTGAATTAACTATTGTTATAGTCGATATTTTTGTACTTTGTCCTGGTAATACAACTGTATACGATGATTTATAATCAGTTACACTTGTAACTTTCTTAACTGCAGTAGTTGTACTTGTACTTCCCCACATATCACCTATTTTAGGTTTTGGTGTTGGTGTCAACATTGGTGTAATTGCAGGTGTTCTTGGCGGAATATTATTGTCTGAAATAATTATTGGAACAACAGTTTCACCGGATATATTTACATAAGTGTATGAAACATTTGTTGAAACTATTTTAGGAACTAAAACAAATGAGTCTGTGATAGCTTTAATATTTGTCATAAGCATATAAGTGGTTAAAATAAGTCCTATTGTGAAATTATCATTCTTCATTGTGACAAAGTTTGTTGTTATGTCAGTAAATGAGTATGTTATATATTCATTATCTTTTGTAACTTGTGAACCATACCATGAAATAGTTGATGTCTGTCCTGATCCTGATGTAACAGTTAAAATTGAATTTGTCTTTGTGTATGAAAGTAAATTAACTTCAAGCATTGTTTTCATACTTGTAAAAACAATTGTACTTGTATTCATAGTAACATCCTTGAATGAATAACTTGTAACATATGAAGTACCACCTTGATTTGCATAACTAGACGGATTGAAAGATATGAAAGCATCTGTATAAGTTGGAATTTCTGTAAAAGTATATATGACTGTATCCGAATAGTTTATATATGTACTACTAAAAATTGTTGTTGTAGAAGAATAAATATAAATTGTACTTGCCTTGAGAATTAAATTATTAGGAACTGGTGAATGTACAGTAGTTTCTGTATATGTGTAATTTGGAAGTAATGTTTCTCTTTCAGCCAAAAGCGGATTACTTGTTGCAGGAATTGTAAATTTAACACCAGAAAATTGTTTATTATCAATTTCCATAAGTCTTTTCGCATTGTTTAATGAAACATTGTATGTAAGAACATCAGTTTCAGTGTATGTAGGTATTAATTTTCCTTCTATAATTGATGTATTAATATATGAAATTTCCTTAGCATCTATTAAATATGTTGTTGTGTTGAAAATCGTCATTGTATTTGTCAATATATATGTAGCTGTTGTTGTATGAGTAATAGTTACATTTTGGTTTTTAATTGTATAAATCGGATAATCAATAACTGTTGCAGTACTTAATAATGTTTTCGTTAAAAGTGGGTAAACAAATACTGTACTTAATTTATTAACTGCTGTCCATTCATAATTAATTGATGGACCGTTTATCATTGTAGCTGTCGATGTTTTATTATAATAAGTTGTTGTAAGAGTTATGTCATTTGCAATTGTAAATGTTTCTAATTGTGTCATATATTGTGTTGTTCCACTAAATGTATATTCAATAACTGTCGAGATATTAATATTAGTTGTTAGTGATGTCAATATTTTTGCAATTGTTTCTGTCTCCATTAATGTTAAATTGTTATTATGGTATGTAGACTTATAAATAGATGTTGTACTGTAGATTGCAGTGTAAACTACTTCAGTGAATGCTGTTGAATAATAATTCGTTATCGTCTGTGTTATAATATTAGTTTCATCGAATGTGTAAATTGAGATATTAGTTTTTGTTGTAAATAGTGTAATGAAAGTCGGTATTTCAATTGATAGTGAAGATGGTGTTGATGAGTCACTGAAATAAGAGATTGTGTATGTAAGAGTATCAATGTTTGTTGTTGAGCCTACAAGAGTATTAGTATTAATATAAGAAGTTAAAACGCCATCAAATGAAAGCTCTGGAACGTGTAAGACTGTTGAAACAGTTTCAGATCCTAATATAACTTGTGTGAAAGTGTAAAATACACTATCGCTTATACCATTTATTGGAAGATAAAAAGTGAATGTCCATGTGAACACTGGACTGTTGAATGTGACATTTGTGGGAAGATCTTGTATATTTGCTTTAAGAGTTGAAGATATAACTGTATAACTTATGCCTGTAGGATTGATAGAGAAATATGAAGATTCTGTTTGTGTAAGCGTGAAAACATTTGTACCTGTAATTGTGTTGGTCATACTATATGAAAATGTGAGTGTATTTGTTGTCCACGTTGTTTGCAAAGAATAATAAGAAACGAATTCACTATTTTGGTTAATAGATGAATATGTTTGTGTAAGAGTTGTAACAGCTGTATATGTATATGTTGTTTGTGAATCATCTAGTGTAGTAATTGTGCTGTAAAGTGTAACATATGGATAATAAACAACTGTAATTGTATTCTCTGAGGCTTTTGTATAACCTGAAATGTAGCTTATTCCTGATAGTGTTGTAACTGTAATATTTGGAACTAATGTTAATTTGCTTGTAGTAATTGCAAAAGTGGAAAAATCTGTTGAGCTGAAGTGTTGAATAGTTGGTATCACTGTCGGAATTTGCACAATTGTGAATGTGCTTGTTGTACAATTAATAAATGTTGATGTAAGTGTAGTTGATTGTCCATTCGTCAAACTAAATATTCCTGAAGCATATGCGTTGATCGCAGTCAGAATTATGGCATAGTCAGTTTTTGTTAGTACTAAACTATCTTCATTATTAATAGTATATGTAACAGTAGTAGTTGATGAATTAGTGTAAGCCATTATTGGGAAGATGCCAAAATTACTTGGAATTTCAATTAATGATCTATTTGTTTCAACGAATGTTGCAGATAAAACGCTACTCGCACTATTCGTAAAAGACAAGTAGTTAATTGTTGAATTGACTTTTTGATTATTGTAAAAGTCTGTATAAGTAGCAGTATTAGTAAATGTTGGATAATAGAGTGTATAAGTCTCGTTTGAAGCAAGATTTGTAGCAATTGTTGTGATTGAGGTAATATTTGTTAATTTATAAGTATTTTCTGTGTATGGCATTGAAAGTGTTAAAGTATTTGTGAAAATTGTTGTGATTGTACTTGTAATATTTGTAACTAAAGCTGTGAGAGTTAAGTATGCTGTACGAGGATCTGATAAAGTGTATATAGTAGTCTTTGTTTCTTCATTGAGAGGATTTGATGAAGGACATGGAGTCATAGCAGTTGGCTCGAAAGTTGTGTCAGGTGTGTAATATGGTGTCATATGTGGTGTTGAAAATGGTGTTCTGAAGAATGTTGCAGCAACAGAATATGTGAATGATATTGTCCATCTGCTTGAATTAAAAGATGAATAAAAAGTGTGTGATGATGTTGTTTTCTGGGGAAGTCGTGTAATTGGAGTAGCAGCATATACAAATGGAGATGGAGGGGGAACTTGAGAAGTTATTTCATCATTACCTTCATTAGACTTTCGAGCATTTGAAAGAGACAAAGTTTGAACATTAGAAAATTTACTCTCGCTAACACTATTTTGTTTGCATTTATCATCATTTGGTTGAGTATCGTAACTGAGTGGTTGATAAATCTGCTTTATAAATTGACTTGTATTGCCAATAAATGCATAAGCTTTTTCTGAATCTTGAAGGTAATCTTTATAAGATTGCCAGTAAGCATTGCCTTCAAGCATGTAATCATTACCTCTTTCATCAGTGTATTTACTGCTAGATTCAAGTGTATTTATGAAGCCATTGAACATTTTGTTGTATGAAAAACAATTTTCTTGAGAAATAAAGTGGCGCTGATCATCAATAGAAATGAATGCAATACCACCACATCCGCGTCCTCTAAATCTGAGAGAGTATTTATTGGTGTCACTTCTTGATTGATTTTTAGAAATTACTGTTCTGTTATTTTCGCCTGCAGCATTTGCTTGGATGGCACTCTTAAAAACGCTTAGTTTGGCATTTAAACAGAATATAGCGCCGCCTTGGTCACCGGCTGTGTTGTATCTGAGAATTAAATTTTCTAAGTAAATTTCTGAATCACGATCGATGGAGATTGCACCTCCTGTTTGATCGGCTTTATTACTCGTAAAAGTGTATTTATAAATAAAAAGTTGAAAATTATTAGTAAATGATTTCGAATTCTCATCTTTAGGAGTATATCCTTCGAATAGTATAGCACCACCGGAGGAATATGCAGTATTTGACTCAAATTTGGAACTATGATCGTTCTTTCCGTCTAAAAATGCATTTGAACGTATTAAGCAAACAGCACCGCCATCTGCTGCTATGTTTTTTGTAAAATCTGTTTCTTTAATAACGCATATTGATCTTGATAAGAAAATTGCGCCGCCACATGGGCCTGATACTTTTCTTCCGAATGCATAACATTGATCAAAAGTAGAGCTGGTAACGGTAAATGAACTTTTGACGTATTCTAATCCAAGAACGCTTGTAAATTGATTTCCATATAATGAATAATCAACATCAATTTTACCGAATAATTTTTCCTTAATATTTATGTTTTGCTCTTTGATGAACATTGGGGCGGCAACCGCTTCCACTTGGTGACTTATGTCAAGATGCCGAATAAATAGAAGAAAAATCAACTCGAATATTAAAAATTTTCGCAAAGTCAAGTGAAAAAAAATTGTAAAAAAATATATAGTTTCCAAATATCTAACTATAATAGTTAACGATTTTTACGATATAATGAAAAAATTGAAAAGAATGTAAGAGATTTTTTGAATGTATAAGAATATTGCACATTATTTCAAAATATTCAAAAAATATTCATAAAAAAAACACTGACGAATGTATTTTGTGATATCATTCAATTTTGAATGAAATAGTACTTGAGTAGGAAAATTTGATTGGTAAGAGTACCAATCAAAGATCTAGATATGATGCACAAGCTATTTCCTGGTGCAACATGCTTAAATAAAGATACAAGATAGAAATACCTCAAATTTTTACTTTTTCAATTTCTCTGAGATTAAAAATTTGATTATAACCGAGTCAGATTTTAGCATTATACTTCCATATCAGTGTTGGTCTCTTACCAATCAAATTTGAAAAAAATTCTCCATATCCTCAGAAAATTCTGAGATCTCAATGAACTTTTTGAATACTTCCATTTGAGAGAAAAATGTATGGGGTGCAAAATTCGAATAAAACAATATAAATAAATAACAAAATTGAGATAAAGTATGTTATGGTAATTAACGAAAACTTAGCGCTTTTTCGTGATTTTGAGGATAATATTAAATGGAGCTAAAATCACCAAATTTTGGTATGCTACAACACTGATTAATTTTTGGGTTCCTTCTTCTCGAAAAATTATGGAAATTTATTTCTTAGCAATTAGCCATTCTGATTATCATTTCTATTAGTTACGCTAAGCAAATAAATTTTTCATTATCGATATAGTGCAAGAACCCTTTGCTGGCTCTAAAAGATCAAAATAATTATCCAGTGTACGTTTAAAATTGAATAAGTTACACGGAAATAAATTTAAATATTTAAATAAACGTTTTATTGATTAAACACCCAAAATAAGAAATTCTAGTAATAAATAAAATGATCTCTGCATACTTTTTCAATGCTCGATTTTTAAAATCTATTTAAAAATGGAGAGAGATACTAAATTTTAACAGACTATTTCAGAGAATTGAGCTCCCGCTCAATTCTCTGAAAAGTCTGCAAAAATTCGTATATTCTTATATAAATTATCTGTTTTCTTTGAAACATTTTATGCATTAATGTCATGATTTCCATCAATACAAAGGATTGTAGCATTAAAATCAATTTATGATTCATATGATTCCTGCATGACACTTTACAGGTATATATTTATCTAGTTTATATTCATCAACTTGAAAATATAAAAATGAATTAAAGATAATTTCTGTGATTATTAACAAAAAGCCGAAGGTTTAAGATTTCTTATAGTTAAACATCAATTCCTTCCTCATCAGAAGGTGCACTAGGATGATGACCTATTAATCCTTTTGAAATTAATATGAAAATGCCAACACCTATAGCTGCAAGAACAATAACTGCAGCTGGAATACCAACTTCAAGTCCTAATTTTGTTGTTTTCTTCTGATTAGCATTCTTACCATTTTGTGAACTTACATTTCCTGAAGAAGTAAGTGGATCATTTTTAGGGGAAGCTGTTGGGGATTGGATTGGGTTTGAAATTGGCATTGGAGCTGGAGTTTCGATTGATGATGGTGAAGGAATAGGAGTTAAAGCAGGCGATTCAACAGGAGTTATTCCTGGTGTTGGAACTGGTGTTGGTGGGTGTTCACAGTCAACAACTAATGTTTCATATTCCCATGAATATCCATTTGATTCAACTTCTACACGAATTTTTGTTCCTGGATATGGAAGATATGGATTTGACATACCTTCCGAATGCCAATTCGTGTCAAATCCAACTTTTCTAGTGAATCTAGCACCATCAGTAGTACTCCAATCACCCATATCTTGGTAGCCACCATAAGGAAATCGTGAATCCGGCTCGAGAAGCGTTCCATTGATATATGCACGATAAGTGACATTGTTACGATCTATTTTTGGAGACTGGAATGTCCAAACTAAAGGAACAAGTGTGTAATCAATATAGCCTGGTGGAGGAATTGCTACAAAATCAGGGCGAGGCATGTCTGGGTTGTTTATTCTAAGAGTACCTTGAGTTGCATCATCTCCTCGATAATAAGCTGTTAAGGCTGCAAAGTAATCTGATGGGAAGTAGAAATTTCCATTCTTAGGAGGATTATCTTGAATACCCATGCAAAAACGAGTTCTATATAATGCAGGAGAAAACATAGCAGATCTATGGCCCATTCATTCAATTGTTTCATCAATTAATATCCAAAGCATATAGCCAGCTTTTAGATAACCTGATGTACCACTTTGAGATGAAAAACCGAATCCCATTGCTCCATGAGGTAATTCTTTACTGCATTTGGAGCCTGACTGTGTTCTATGATCTGAAACAAGAGGGCTGTTTGTATTATCATGCCAAAACCAAATACCTTCAGTAACCATCTCTCTATGAAGTTCTAAATCACTCAATTCAACTGGCCATGCACCCATTCCATGGAGATATCTGATATCATTGAGTTCTTCAAGGAGATCCTTTTCTAGTGTTAACGGAAATGTTTTTGGATATGTACAATTTTCTATAGCGTTTGCTGGAAATGTAAAATCTTGAACATTGTAACCTCGTGCACTATCATCTGAAAATAATGAGTAGATTTTGGATTTAATTCGCTGAGAACGGGGACAGATATCAGTCAGAAGATCTTGATTTAATTTAAGTACTTCAAATATTAGGGAAAAGATCAGCATTTGAAAAAAAAATGAATTTGAAAAACATTCAAAAATTGAATATCGTTCAAAAAATCAAAATTGACAAATTAAAATGTAATATTTAGAAAATATATGCAATTTTGGGAAAGATATTTTAAATCTTATTATTTTTTGAATGAGAATCATTAAAAAATTAAAATGGCAAAAAATTTATACGATCATGTTATCATTTCTAAGAAAACAACTGTCGATTAATAGTAATATTTTGGGGAGTAATATAAGAGTAATTTTATTATTCGTCTTTCTTTACTGGAATCCTAACAATTTCCTTGCAACATTGATGACTGAATGAACTATAATTAGAAAAAAAATTTGTAAACTATTTAAAAAATTGTTTGAGATTCACAAATGTAAAGTCCATAGAAAATATGGGAGTAAGTCTCAAACTAAGGATGTCAATTCGGAAAATTGTTTTCATTAAAAAAAAAAGGTAGTGGGGCCTCCAGGCACTTCGTGCCCTCTAGCCCTGAAGATGTTTAGTATAACTTTGTCCGGACAAGTAAGGGTCTATCGTCGCTACAGGAAAAGTTACAGGCGTTCCAAGGAAGTATACTTTGAGAAGCCTTCTTCTGGGTCGAAAACATTATATAATGTGTCGCTTTTCACAAAATATATATGTTTTCATGTTTTGTCACTTTTCTGTCACTTTTCAGGTAAAAACATTTTTATTATTATATATAAATGAATTTTACAAAACCACCGTTGCCGTTCTTTGGAAATAAGAGTAAATGTAAAGATATTCTATTGAGAGAACTTAAGAAACTACCGAATGGTCTAACATTTGTAGATTTGTTCGGTGGAAGTTTCTATATATCCCATTTGTGCCATACAATATTCCCAGACTCAAAGATTATATGCAATGACTTCGACAACTATATGGACCGTCTCAAACATATACCAGACACAAACAATATATTGAAAGCGTTAAAAGAAAAGATACCTATAGGTAAGATGGAACGTATACCATTAGATAAGAAAAATATTGTGAGAGAGGTTTTGAAAAAAGCAGAATATATAGACTGGAATAGTATATCTGCTAGACTATTATATAGTGGTGCTATAAGAGTTCATGACATTGAAACACTTATGTCAAAAGTTTTATATCTTAACTATACAAATGTTTTCAAAGAGGACATAGAAAAATATATTGAGGGTATAGAGTTTGTGAGATGTCATTGGACAGAGTTGTATGAAAAATATAAAGACAAGGAAAATGTTTTCTTTATAGTGGACCCGCCGTTCTATAACACATGGGATTTTCAATACCAAGTAGACTGGACTTTGAGAGACTCTTTAGAAACTTTAGACGTTTTACATAACTGTCCATGCTTTTACTTTACATCCGATAAAAGTGGTTTGGAAACCGTTATGAGATGGTTAGAGGACATACATGCCTATGAGTTTAGATATGACAAGATAAATATGAGAGAGGTCCTATAAACCGGAGAAAGTGTCATAACAAAGAAATTTTACTAGTAAGTAAATGTGGTTTGAAATAGGACTACTTGTTTTAGGTTTTTTCCATTGTGTCATTTATTTATTTGACGTGGCAGAAAGGTACAGAGAATATGAAGATGAACCAATGCCTGCAAATGTTCAGCATATGTACTCGTAAGAGATATTTTATCTAATATTAAATGGACGCACAGAACTTAGCAAATGCACAGCAACCTGGACAACCAAACCCAGAGAATATTCCAAATGAAGTTAGAATACAAACTGCAATGGCAAACTATGGTCAAGTGCCAACAGATGTACAAATGCAAACTGCCATGTCAAATGACGCTGCGTTAGGTTTGCCACCATGGTATGCAAATATGAGATGGAAAGAGTTTTATACAAACCCTGAAGTGGGATATAAACAACTTTATGCAGATGACGCGAACACAGGAGTTGACCCAGAATATGTTTTCTACCAGAGGAGAAACAGAATGTATGAGCTCCAGTTAAAAAATGCTATGGAACTCAGAAGGAAACCTAAGAGACTAGGCGGACATTAGATTTTTACATATAGTAAAATGGGTTTCTTCAGTAAGATAGGAAACTTCTTCAGAAGAGTCGGAAGAGGTATATGGAATGGAATAAAAACCGTAGGAAGAGGAATTTGGAACGGAGTCAAAAATATTGGTAAAAGAGTAGGTCAGTTCGTTGGTATTATACCTAAAGACCCTGAACCAGAAGAACAAGCTCCTGTTATACAACAGCCTGAACCTGCACCACAGTCAAGTTGGCAACCAAATCCAACACCTCAACCGTATTAAAAAATTATATTTTTACCGTTCGATAGTAGTTGTATATGAAACTAAGTTCTAAGTAAAACGCATGGTATAATGGAATTATTCTTTTTCTTCCATCTGTAGTAAACCATACTTGAAAGTCTGAAATACTTCCACTTGGTGGTTCGTATAACTTTGTAGGTTTTTCGTAAAAGTCATTTGCCAAGCATAAAAAAGAGTTTTGGGCGCCAGAAAATGAAGCATGAACTATAATAGCATCTGAGTCGAAAACATTTTCATATGTTCCATTAGGGTTTTCGACTTCATAAAAGTCCGGGTGTACTGGATATTCTGCAGGCTGATTTAACATCCTCATAAATCTATACCATGCCAAGTTGTTATATTTTGTAGAAATATAAACGTTTTCTCCAAGGTCTTCTATTCTATTGATTTTAACAGTTGCATTTTTCCTGTCATAAATAATATCGAGATGGTACTCTCCTTCGTCAATGTTATACTGGTTTGCATATTCGATATAGATGTCGTTTATTTTTTCTTGAAAAGCTTGAAGAGTTGTTTCTAAGTTTACAAGCAAATTCACTTGTAAAAGTTTTCCCTGTTCAAATTTCTCATACGTACGTTTTTCTTTGTTATAGTATCGAACTTCAAAACCGACCGTAAATGGGAAACCATGTATGGCTTCTGAAATGAACTTCATTCTACGAAAGCCAATAGCTTTTGTGACAGATGGGTCTCTTAACCATCTTAACGGGTAGTCAAAACGATAGCCTTCATGCTTTACGGTCTCTGTCTCAAACTTTTGACCGACATTGGTAAAAAGTTCATCTAATGGTTTAGTTGTAGCAACTCTAGAATTTTCTTTTTCTATTGAAAGCATATTTTATCTAGAATAAAAATGTCAAATGAAACAGCGTCTATGAGAGAAATACAACACAACCGACAACTCATTATACAAGCTCTAAATAAGAACACAACAAACTTTTCAAACTATTCTAAGATATCTGAGTCATTGAAAGAAGGAAACTTAAAACTGACATTAAACCCAATGACAGATGAGTTTCTGTTTCAAGACAATAAGAACCATACTGTCTGTATAAATCCAACAAAAGGAACTTTAAACGAGAAACCTATAAATGAACTTCTTTTGAAAGCAGATGTTGACAACAAAGCTGACAAGGAATATGTAGACGATGCAATAGCAAAAGAAGAAGAAAGAGCTAACAAAGCTTATGCAACAAAAGAACATACTCATCCTGAACTAGCAGACAAAACATATGTTGACAATAAAATGTCAAGTGAAGTGACAAGAGCTGAAAACGAATATTCTAAAAAGACTCATACACATTCTATATCTGAAATAACAGACTTAAACGTTAGCCTTGAAAAGAAAGCGGATAAGGAATATGTGGCTAGTAAGTTAGAGAAGAAAGCAGATAAGGAATATGTGGATGAAAAAGATAACGAAATGAAAGAAAGGGTTGACTGGTACCATGAATGGACATCGAAGATTTTAAAAACTAAAGCCGATACAGGATGGGTTTCAGGATGTTTAGACCTTAAAGCAGATAAAACTTATGTTAACGATGAGTTAGAGAAGAAAGCAAATAAGACTCATACACATACAAGTTTTACAACTGTTGCTATAGAAAGTATTGAAGGAACGGTTGAAGAAACTGGTGGGGATGCATTATATTGTAAACCTCCTAACTTTCCACAAGGTTTAACATCGGATGACGACATAACGACGATGAGAAACATTAGATGTAAAGATGTTTATGTCATGAAGGATGAACATAATATTAAATTCACTGCTCAAGATTTATATGACAAGAAAGCAGACAAAACAGAGCTTCAAACATTAAAGACAGAAATACTTCAAACATTATATCCTATAGGCTCTATTTATACGTCAATGAACTCTACCAGACCAGAAACAGTTCTGGGTTTTGGAACTTGGACTCAAATAGTCGACAGGTTTTTGTATTGTGCAAACTCTTCAAAGGAAACAGGTGGAAGTAAAACGATTTCAGGTGAAAATTTACCTGCGCACAGTCACTACATAGATTTAAGTACATCTCAAGCAGGTTGGCATAAGCATAGATATTGGGATTGGTCAGCAATGACAAAAGGTAAAGGATATGATGTTAAAGACAACGTTAAGTTTGCTATAAATTGTTACTGGAGTAACACTGAGGGAGGAGGAAACCATACACATCGCGTTTCAGGGTATACGCAAACAACGGGACAAAGTAAAGAATACATGCCACCTTACATGACAGTTTACGCATGGTATAGAAATGCTTAGTCGTCATTTTCAACTTCTTTAGCATATTCGTCAGGAGTTGTCTTATATTTGTTAGGAACTGTCTTTGAAAGTATACCACCTTGAACTTTGACAAGTTTGAAACGAGGTCTGACAATAGTAGTTTTATCTTCTGCTTGCAGTGTGTACATTTTGCCATGTTTGCCTAAAACTTCATAATATTCTCTTGTATACTTTCTTCTATTTTTACGAACACGAATGTGAGTACCTGTCGGGTTCCCATTGTTGTCATAGTCAATAGTATTTTCATATGGGTCGCGTTTAGGTATTTCTATTTTTACTTTGTCACCTTTCTGAAGTTTGAAGCCCGGCATTCTTTCTTGTTTGTCTCTTTTGACTAAATTATTAAATATATAGTCTTTCTCTAAGTCAGGGTTGTTTTTCATTTCTTCGGGGGAGTGGTTTCCCAAACCTTTTTG